TAACTTTAAAAAATCCTATTCAAACTTTAAAAGGACCCTTCAATAATATTAGGTTTTAGAGGCTATAGTTATTGATTATATTCATTACAATTTACCTATTACCTATTTCCCAAACGCTGCAAGTAAAAAAAAACAACAATACAAGCCCTTACGTACACGATGGACTAATATACTTTTTGAAATCACATTTCTAAAGCAATACAATTATCGTCACGCACATTTGTGTATGTGGTATTTTTAAGTTGGTTCAACTATTATTGTGTACGTTTTCAAACACTTCAGATCATCATAACTTCATGAATACATTTTAGATTCAATTCACTGCAAGTAGGTCGATGACTGTTCTATTATTGAATGGTAATTGTTATCATCGTGATGGAATAGACAATACCTGGATTTGCGTCAGGAGAATCAATTAGGGGCCTATACTGTATGTATTTTGCCCAAACTGTCTTGAAAATGTATTGAATACTCAGTGCGTGATTCACTAATACACTTTTTGAAATCACATTTCTAAAGCAATAAAATCGTCACGCACATTTGTATTTGTGGTATTTTAAAGTTGGTTCAACTAGAATTGTGTACGTTTTTAAACACTTCAGATCATCATAACTTCATGAATACATTTTAGGTTCACTTTACTGCAAGTAGGTTGATGACTGTTCTATTATTGAATGGTAATTGTTATTATCGTGATGGAATAAACAATACTGGTACCTGGATTTGCGTTAGGAGAATCAATTAGGGGGGCCTATATGTGTAATTTTGCCAACCTGTCGTGAAAATGTACTGAATACTCAGTGCGTGTGAAAACACTTGCAAAAAATATTTGCAAGTTCTCCAGTGGGTCTCGAACCCACGTTCTCCAGATCACTAGCCTGGCATCATGCCTTTAGACCACCGAGCTTGCACCTGGTAGTCAGGATTGAATTCGAGCCAAAGTTATAAGTAGCGAGTACTATTTTTGCAAGTGTTTTCACATGTACTGAGTATTCAGTACGTTTTCATGCCTGGTTGGACACAATTCCACCTATGTGTTCTATTGATGTTGTCAATATTATAATATATCATAGATTCATGAATAGTTTGTTCTCAATATTCTTCAATTTTTTTAAACAAAATATTGTTTAGATATTTCTGAGCGTTAATGCTGTCCCGTATCTGTTTTAAAAAACCTCTGAATGTATAAGCATTCAGAGTTTCGCCTGAGTAGACCGCACTAGAGGCTCTGTCTCTATGTCCGATCAGGGGCATTTTTACCTTAACTAGGGCCCGGCAGTTATCTATGCCATAGTTACCAACCGTCACGCATCACTTCAAAGTGATATTGGATGAAACGCATTTTGCAGAAACACATGCGAGATCATAAATGTGTCATTTTTTATCACTTGCGTGATAACGAATTATCACAAAATCAGGGGAAAACGTATTTAAAATTAGAAGAAATTGGTTTTATTAAAAATATTAAAATGGTATACAGTAGCTTGAGTCATTAGAGAGCTTTCTTTATCTCGTTCGAGAATCAATTCACAGAGAAAATTACTCTTTTCCGGCCAAAACAACCCAGCCAACCACGCACTTGTAGAATCTAGTAGTCGCAAGCAGTCTTGCGAGTTTATTGTTATAACACAACCGTTTAAAATGTGACGGGAACCCAAACTTCTGCAGGGGTTCCGTAATAATACCGCGTAGGTCCTATAAGGTGACCCGTGTATAAGACGACCCCCAAGTTTTAGAAGATTTTTGGTTGATTTTTTTATGTCTGGCGTATAAGACGACTCCCTGTTTCATGGTCGGAATTCCTAATTTTTTGTGGTCCTGTATACTGTGTCTAGCTGGATAAATGGAGCCAAATGCAAGGGTAATCTTCCAAATAATACCATTTTATGAGTTTTTAAATCTTCCCATATTTAAAATTGCTTTCATTGATACAACATTTAGTTGCTTCATTGCAGTAGTAAGTTCGCGTGTTCAGGTCCTCTTCAGTATATATATATATATATATATATATATATATGTGTGTATGTATATATATAGGGCCTATATACTTTTTAAGTCCTGTATCATGCATAGGAACGTTGACGCCTGCAAGGCTCTGGTTATTTGATGCTGTAGCTATAGTTTTACAGTACAACTGTGTGATAATATTTATTATAAGTCAATCGTGACGTCATCACTGTAACTCCCAATGTTATTTGCCTATTCCCCAGCGTCCAATAATTTTTTATTATTGGACACTCGGCTTAATTTTTTTAAGGTTCGTGTGCAAAAAAAAATTCCTCATTTTTTCGTCACCACCTCGAATACATCGCGCACCGTGATAAAAATTGAATTGTAATTGAAAATTGCTTTCGTAAAACAAGCTTAATTAGAACCCGAAGAAAATTGCTTCAAATTCAATATTAAGTATCAACAATTAAGGAATTCATTGAATCAATGGACCCTCATAAACACAACAAACTGAACATTTAATAGAAATATTCTAGACTTATTTTAAAGACTCAAGGAACACATTTAGATGTAGGCCTACGGCCAGGCAGGCCGCCGGGGCCTCCTCCTACTATTACTAGGCTTAGGCCGTAGCCTGGCCTAGTTATGAAATCATCGCACGATTTTACCTGTCTGCATGCACCGACCAAAAAGGACGTCAGTCACTGTCCCTCTCGAATGCTGAAATGTTTATTTCTTTGACGAAAGTCTATCAATATAGCATTACAAACAAGTTCTTTCTAACACAATAGTTAGGCCTATTCATCGTATCTGTACTGTACTGCTGATGTTAGATGAGTTAAACGCGTACTGCATGCAGGAGCAAAAATCAGCATACGCACAGCTAAATGTAAATACGCACACGTATACTGATCATATCACTATAGCAACCAATAGCTGCTACAACAGTTGGTTATAAAAAACTAAAATTAAAAGACGGCGATTGACTTATAAAGCAATTAGTAGAGCATGCATCGTACACTAAACGGAAAATTATTATACTTAATAATTCAAAAATTTCCTTCGGGCCTTTCCTATAGTGTACTATGCGGAGCTCTACTAATTGCTTATTACCTGTATTCATGAAATTCTTCTGACATGCTGTAGTGTATTAAGATAGCAAGACTGAAGTTTAAGGTTAAGGGTCAAGCCAGCTACACCAATTAATACTTCATATTTACATAAGGTTGTTGGAATAATATCCATGGCCTTATTATTATTTTCATCATCATTATTAAAATAATAATTTTTTTCCCCATTTTAGCACATTAATGGACTCTCATTAAAGATTGACATGGAGGACACGCTCAAGAAAGCTGAGGGCATTTACCTGCAGCTGCGTGAGTGTGAGAATCTTCCTCTTGCCATCAAAGAGATCATTGAGGTTATTCCTGATACCAGCCTACGAGATTCTGACAGCAGTAGCATTGAGATCCTCGATGATGTGGTGTCAGATGATGTCAATGGTAAAACAGGACCTCAATCAACGACGACGACAACAGAATCACCAAATCCTTAAGTCTAAACTTCTTTTAGGGTAAGTCTAACCTCTACTAACGGTAGAATAGAATTGCAGCAATGTCTAAGTTTTTTATCTTTTTTCTTTACAAAAATAGATCTAATGTTTTTTTATAAGGTTTAAGATTAATATTAAACATTTTGGTTGATATTAATGTTTAAATTTTTCCTGTTTGGTATTGTTTTTAATGAATAATTTTTTTTTTTTTTCAGGATACTGCACTTTGAAGGTATTAATTAAACTGTTCCATTATCCCTCATAGGGGTGTTATGTTAATCCAGTAACAATATTAATAAATTATTATGGTCGTGATGGAAACATTAATGTTATCATCTGATTAAGTTGGTAATTCCCAGCTATAGGTTTTTAAGCCAATGAGCATCACTTGAAATTAGCATACAATAAAGAACTGTTGATAGCATGTGACATGAAATATGATGACCAAAAGGAAGAGAAATTTAGCCTCCTAATATAACATAATTAATGAATAAACTCTTGACTCTCAGCCATCTTGTAAATATGTTGAAACCTATGCTATTTTGCCTAATGCACTATAATCTAGTAAAATAAAGATTGCTATTAGAATTTTAAAATTTATATTGTTAACATTGCACCTTTGAACAGTAGGCTAAAAGAAAATGTGCTATGTTTCCTAAGCTAAGTGACATTTCAAAAGATATATTTTTGCCAAAAAAAAAAAAAAATGCCAAACCCTACATTTTCAAGATTTTGGGTTTAGTTGGTCCGACTTGGACAACACATAGGAGGTTTTTTTCTGCCTTGTTATATTGCCCCTAGAATTGTATTATCACATGGTGAGTTAGTATTGTTGATTGTAAATTATAGATATTATTAGACCCTACCCACCTTTAAACTTCATATATATATATATATATATATATATATATATATATATATATATATATATAATGTAATCTATGTATAATGTAAAAGCAATGAAAAAATGATGTACAATCATTGAAGGTTAAATTGCAGAACACTAATATAGCAAAATCAAATGGATATTTCAATAGCTCCTGCTATCTTTATCAATGTTAAAGTCACTTTAGCATTGATAAAGATAGCAGGAGCTATCAAAATATTCGTTTGATTTTGATATATTTTAATAAATCTGTGTTTTGACTTTTTATTGTTTCAATTCAAACAAATTTATATAGCAATTGTGTATTGTATACACTATGCAAACCTAGCAACATCACTAGACAAAGCTTAAGTAAAGTAAGCAAGTAATTGTGTATTGTGAGAGCTGACAAATTTCAGCTTTTTGTTCCTAAATTATGTTATTGACTTCCATAATTTAATTTAATTTCAATATTATGTAAATACTTTTTAATGATATATAATATGCAATAAACAGTAATGTATTTTCTATTTAGCTTTAAAATCAAGTTATTTTTATTATATATCATATATTGTGCTCTAGGTTTATACTGTAAAACCCCTATTACTGTTGGTTAAGCTTAGCGCACACTGTATTGTCCAGCCGATGGCCGACCATGCTATATGTGAGCGTTTTCCCAATGTAGTGCCCATTCACTTTTATGAGTGGGTTGTGACTGTAAATGAATCATTGTGCTTTGCATCATTGTTCCGTGACATACTGCGCTGATCGCCTCAGTCTGCCATCAAGAATCAGCATATGGTATCGTGTTACGACCATTGTACAATGCAGGGTGTGTGCCTGGCCTCTGGTAATCGTGTTGGCTGCCGATGCCGTGCAGTGTGCATTTAGCTTAAAGACAATGTGCTTCGGGTTTAAAAGCATTTTAATTTCAATATCTGAATCATGAGTCATCTTTGGCATTAATTCACAAGAAATAATATTACGTTAATATGATATTTGTACATATGCATGATGACACATACATACACACCTATTCAATTTGTTTATTTTAATTAGAGCCCACACACATGCACCAAGGATTGCTAAATAGCGAATATATCACTGTCCTACAATCCCTTTCACAAGACAAATGCCCACACATTATGCTTCACACAAACTAAATCTCAATGTGAGGCTTAGGGAGTCGAGTTATTTTTATTTGTGAGAAAAATCCTGCAACAGGATTGGAAGACAAGCACCAAGTTATTTAACTACATTCAAATAATACACTATTCTAGGAACAGGGAAATATAAGGTACAGTAGTTGCCATTGTTTTATATTTAATTTTATGTAGTAAAGCATCAGTATCTTTAGCCTCCTTTTGGTTCTATTAATTCCACTTTCTTACTCTTTAAATCTGTATTAGTGTTTATGGTTATTTGATATCACAATCATTGTCTTTTATTGATTGCGACAAAGTTGTTATTCTGTAAAACCTACTCAAGGTACGAGGAAAGAGAAGCTAAATGTAGGTTGTTACCATTGTGTTATATTGATCAAATGTTATGCATTCTGGATTTTATCTGTAACGTAAATCTTCAAGTCAGTTCAGTCTTAAGATGCAATTATTTTAATTTTTCTCCCTTTTTAAATTTGTATTAATGTTTATGGCAACCATTGTCTCTTTTTCGTGGTAACAACCTAAACGCTACTCTAGGTTTCTAAATATAGGTGGATACCATTGTGTTACAGTGATCTGATTTTACAAAGTGTATATTTTACTGTCTATAATTCAAATATACCTTTTCTTGACTTCAGTGTGCTCTCACTAATAATCACAAAATTGCTTTGTAAATTTGTAGGTAAACATATATTGCTGTTATTCTGGCTAGATATTCACTACTTTAATTTTATGAACACTATAGCCTGTCAAGATGGTAAAGGTTAGATTTCAGATTTACTACTCTTTAAGTATATATTAATATTTATGAAAGTTCGATATATTAATTATCATCCTTTTTGGTCGCAGTCGAGTTATCTTCAAACCAGGATTTATAGTACATTAAGATGTTATTTTAATCATGGAGGTATACCTCCATGTTTTTTAACCAAGGAGGTAATTTTGCTGTTGTAAAAAAAATGTAATTACGTAGATCCATACATTACTGTCATTGGCATATCTTGGTCACAGTCAGTTTATATTCCACGCATATTAATGACGTCATTTGATAACTTCTCTTAGGTCTTAAAATGATTTATACCACATTAAGATGTTACTCTCATCATATGGAAAGCTAATGAATTCTTTGGTGAAAAAAAAGCATACATTTAAGTACGCCCATGCATAGATGCTTTGGAAGTGAGTTAACAAAATGCATTGTTATTTTCAATAGCATTTATCATCACAGTTATTTATCCGACTTTATTTTGGTAATAGATAATAAGTCACTCTGTTATATTAGTCTGTAGAATAATCAATCAGAGAAAACAGTCAGCACTTAAGTGATTAATACTAATTTATTGAACACTTTATCTAAAAAACTCTGCATTTCATTTATAAAGCAGTAATTTACAACTGAATTTATAAAAAAATACCTTTACACGTAGGCTGTACTGTACTATCATGTCTTGCATGAAAGTCGCGTGGTTAAACAATTACGAAAACGTTTAATATAATTGAACAAATAAATAACATAACATACTATACAAAAATCAACTACTATGTGGTGTGGCTATAGACATTGTTATTTTTCTTTTCTGTTTGGTGTTTGTGGCTGCCAACATTTGTACAGGAACCTGGTTCCTCATTGATTTCAACCTCCTCTTGTATTTAAGAAAACAAACATGGACATTTATGAATTATATTTATGTTGACATGCGTTTAACCATAATCTTACATTCTCTAGTCTAACCTTTGTACAATTTCATTTAAAAATTTAATACAGTATATACCAATAAAAAAAATAATTTATTTGCTTTTGCTTATTTTATTTGTCATTTTGTTTGTCACTTGTTTTATGGCAAATGTGTCGATTCATTTCATATTTACATATTTCAAATGTGTGTGTTACAAAGACATACCATTATTGTAACACATGGGTATGTTTGCACCATACATATTCGTTAAGTACTGTACCTGTGAAATCAGTGTTAGGGCCTACACACTTAACATTCCAAATGTTTTTGTTATCACAGATTGACCCTAACAGATACAGGTATATTCTACAGGTTTAAAATTCAACACTACCTTATCCATGATATACAATACAATAAATACTCTATGCATTACAGTGCAGTAGTACTAGAAATACTCTGGACTAGCATTGTTTTAGTTACCATATGAGAGTTTCCTGTGTTAAAAACATGATTTACTGTATTAAAAACATGATTTACTGTACTATACTTCTTTATAAAACATAAATTGTACTTCATAATAAGAGAAATATGTATATTATCGGTACCTGAAACAGTGAAAACACGAAAGTAGTACTATGCTACTGCACTGTAATGCATAGGCCTATTTTAATACACTACTTAGATAGGCTTTTCTTCTTCCATCTTGATTTCAGAGGTCATATTGTGGTGTAGACTAGTCTTTTAAGAACATTTTGCTGGATTTTTTTTTTTTTTTTATACGACGCCCTGTTATGGAGTTATGATTTTTTAAATAACATGATGTCAGAAAATCAGCCCAAGAGCTTATCTTATTTCTGTTGGTTACGCACCGCTGATTCGCAATGTTTGTCATCACTTCAAGATGTCTACCGATTCGTGGAAAATACCTAACACGTCCTACCCTCACCCCGCGGGCGAAAATATCTTTTATCCACCACCAGAAAAGGATAATGCGCCAGACAGCCAAGTCACGCAATGAATCATGAAGCAATCAAAAAAATCAAACTTGTAGAAAGATTGGTAGGAGAATGCCGGGATACAAGCGTTGGGCCTTGTAATGAAATCATGTAAAATAATTTTCAGTGTCTGGCATTCTCAATGACATTATTACTAGTAGGCATAAAATCTAAATTAAATGTAAACAACCTATCTTCACTCGTGTCTTACGGCGCCATCGTAAACTTAACCTCTGGTCTTTCAGGCTTCATCTAGTTAAACTTTCGTTGGATCAGCATTGAAGCCTTTCAGCGTCAAAAAAGGAAACGACTTAAGAAGAAAAAAATTAAATAAATCCTTCTTTTTCATCTAGTTACAAATATTTAATTGAAGATGTTGCCTATGCTCTTGGGGACCTCTGGCAGTGCAGCGCCAATACCGACAACATGATCGCTTGCATATTTCGTTGCTATAAGCAATAACGGGTGTAAAATATGTGATATCCCTACAGCTAATTTTGTTTCTTGTTTTACTGATGCAGAATTATATATCCCATCAAGAAACCGGATGAGCCCAGTTCTATAGCCAATAATCACTGTTTTGTAGCAGACAACCTGACTGACACAACAAATAAATAATACACAATTATATCTTGATATGCCTTGGGTGCCTGGCTTGGGTGCAATCATGAGATGGTTACAACTTACAAGTGCCTATTCGCCTCAATAATGAACTAAGTTTGTTACACAGACAAATAATAATTGTTGCATTGTATACAAAAGGACAAACCCAGGCTGACACATGTCAGTAAATAATATTTTCTCTTACTGTTCATAAACAAACATCCGGTGTGTTGACAATTCTCGATCAATACCGTATGATTTACGAGTAATAAAAAAGAACATTAATTTGCCGTTTATTACAACTCGTGTTACATTCTTGGATCGGCGTAGTGAAAATCGCAAATGTATGTACATGAAGCGATAATGTGATCCATAATAATCGATTGTGTAGCAATGTGACAGGAAAATAACAGGTTAAATAGGCTAAATATTATGATGATTTACATTTTTAACCACGTTTGTATTGCGTGACCGAAAAAATGTTAGACATGCATGTGTTTGAGCGAGAATCCATGGTTATAATGTGTTCCTGCACTTACGTCAAAGGAATTATTAGTATTTACATGAATCTATATTTATACAATTGCAATGCAATATATACAATACAATACACTTTATTATCCCCTGGCAGGAAAACTCATTGGCCTTGACAGTATAGTACTTAGTACAAACAAAAAAGGGGAAAGATTTCCGATCATCAAACTTTTGATGGCAACTATCTACGAAAATATAATTAGGACTCAGCTCAGCAATAATAGGGAGACCTGTGATGAAATTAACTGTATCAATGATCCAGATATTAAGGAAAAAGCATTATGCAGCAGTGCTGTGCCGTTAAATTCATTATTACTTACAAGTTACGACTGTTGTACAATCTTGTAAATATGATGTTATGATGCCATGAAACAAGTGTTATTAAAATTTTATGAAAAAAGAGCGTGAGGAATACGTTGGAGATTCATTTAGACTAATGGCGATATGATGATGAATTTTACTATAAGAGTGTCCTCTCGATGATCATGAGAGGTACCATTTCCTAAAAAAACACCTCAGCCCCAACCATGTTGGGACTAAGGTGGGTGTGGGCTCAGGACTGTTCAAAACAAGATCAGCGCAGTTCATAGGACTGCTTGCATACCGTGAGGGTGACTTAAAAACTGAATGCCGTGCCGGGTGGTTTAAGTCTGTAGGCCTACTAGTACCGGTACTGTTTCACCTCATAATATATGCCACGCAGAGGTAGTGTTTCCAAGAGATGCTTCGTCCGTTATTACTTCATTCCTTCTACATTTGGCCCACTACAACGAAGAGTTCATTAGCGGCCGGGTAAATTTGCCAATATATATTTCTCAAAATTAATATCGTTCGATACACTCAGTTAAACAAACGGACTATCCGTTGACATTATATTAATATTTTAAAATGCTACCCTGGATGCCAAGGGCAGCCCTATCTTGCGCTCTCTAAATTAAAATGATAAAATGCGCGGGGTTGAAAGACCATGCGACAATGGCCTTTTGTCTTGCTTTCAGATATTTTATCCCAATTTTCTCTCTCCATCCAGAGTTTAAAGTGCAAACTCGTGATTGACCTGGTTTGATCCAATGACGGTGCCACATGAAGTGAGAGGCACTGTCCTTATGCGCAAACCGAGCTGTTACTGAATTATTATTATTATTATTTATTATTATTATTATTATTAATTATTATTATTAACATTATTATTATTATTAACATTATTATTATTATTATTATTATTATTATTATTATTATCATTATTATTATCATTATTATTATTATTATTATTATTATTATTAATTCAATCATGTGTCATGCTCTCGGTTACTATATTGTAATTATTATGTACAAATATATTTATATATACTATATTAATAAAGCGGTTTGCATAATATTTTTAGATTAAATTTTGATTTATAATCTTCTAATAATATACTGCTTTAGGGCTATAATTCACGAACAATATAACACCTCGATATATTTCGTTAATTCGACTACACGTTTTCATTGTTTGGGTCTTGTGTACTGAACGGTCTACTGAACGGTTCTGGCAGCAACATCACCACCCTGTCCAAATTATGTAACACGGAATACGCCCTATACATGTGTATAAGTCATTTGTATTGATTATTGTGAAAACTTAAATTAATTACTTCCTTTCCTGTTGAGATGCTTTTTACAACCACTATCGTATATTGTTAGTCACCTGGATTCAGACTGAATTGGATACCATTACTATTTAAGACTATAGCTGTTCCTAGTAACCATTTAAATAACACGATCGAACGTTGGGTGATGAATATTGAAGAAGGGCGTTCTATCTAAAGCCATTAGAGAACTGACAAAATCAGTTAAGAAAATCTTTGAATGTGTATGGTGGTGAGACAGGTTCCAAAGGGTTGAGAATTGCAGTATTTAATAAATGAATTAATGCCTGTATTTTTTTTAAACCCCATTTGGTTTTGTTTAGCCTGTGGTGGTAGAGGGTTCCTGGAGGAAGGGAGTCAACATCTTCCCATCCATGACACTTATCTGAACAAACCCAGAACAAAACGGTAGTGCAGGAGAGTTTGGTGGGAAAAAGATCTGGGAGACAGGGATCTGCCTGACTATACTGAAGTACACGGAAATTTATGATTTTTGTACATGTTCGTTAGCTTTTGAGTGTTTTTGACATAATATTAGACATGTTGTTTATCGTGTTGATGATAATTAAGCCAGCTCAGATTACCCCAAAATGAGTGTATGATCGTCGATAAATATCGGACAGTCTATATCACGCTTTCGTCTACTCAGGCAAAATCTTCACATGATAATAGGCCTACAAAATGTCAACACTCTTTTATTAGACGATGATACTGTAGTAAGTGTAGGTCTATAGAGTATTAGGCGTGGTAATATTTTCATATATCCCTTATCATTGACAAGTTCCGCCTGTATCCCCTTATTTTTGCTTCATTTTCTCGGATTTGTATTTGTCTTATAATTGTCGCAAGAAGGTGTTCAATTATGTCGTAGAAGGAGCGCATCGCAGATCCTGTAATATACAAACAATACAATTTGTATAGGCATAGGCCTATGCTACGTGATTAAATTATCGACACCATTAAAATATTAACAGGCTATATAGGCCTAATCCCTAAATCTTGACTTTTTATTTAAGTTAATACAAACAAAAACAAAGTCATTTTACTTACGGCCTGTTTACAATATTTTTAATTCAGTGTAATTTCGAGTCTACTTGTTCAACATTTAATTATCCATACTCAAAATAATCTCAAAAAGATATCAATGCATGGATTAAGCCGAGCTGCCTACGGACACAATCATTGTGCATTCCATATTCATTTCTAATTACTCTTCAGATACATAAAGTCTTATTATTAATTATGATCGCATATAAGAATTGCAGATATTATGTTTCATTAAAAAAAATGATAATATGAAGCCCCAGATGTGACGGCGGTTTCGAATAATATTTTATGTAAAATTAATACTAATGATAATATAGCA